TCTATATATATATATATATATAGGGGTTGGTTCAAATAAAAACTAGTCCAGGTGTGAGAACCGTGAGAACCGTTTTTTATGCTATTTTTAATTGTGTATGATGCTATTTTTCATATTAAATGATGCTATCATTTTTACAAATGTTAACAGAAATTGTGTTGCTATTTTTAATAAAATTCATCTTGATTAAAAATAGCACCAAACATAATCAATCATAGCACTACGTACAATTAAAAATAGCAGTTCTCACAGTTCTCACATTAAGACTTGGTTCTCATTTGAGCGCATATATATATATATATATATATATATATATATATATAGATGCGCTATATATATATATATATAGATGCGCTCAAATGAGAATGGATCACAATGAGAGAAATAAGAATTAATACGGACCGATCGATCCAATATTTGAACGAACCAGATGCGCTCACGCATTTTAAATACCTGTCCACTTACCGGTGGCATTCTCGTAATAAGAGTTAAAGGATGTGGTTAATAATGCAACTGTGAGGGTACTCCCGTCTTTTCACAAAAAAGCAATGGGCAATTGATGTTTTCGAGCACATTCATTGAGGTAGTAAATACGGCTCGTCTCCCCGAGCTCCAGAGATAACGTATGGAGATGGTGGAATTATGGTAAGAAAAAATTCTTAAAAGAAATAATAAAATCTAGCATTCTTGTAGATAATTAAGAGCATCTCGTAATATCTATGTATTTCTCGCAGATCTATTGTTGATATGTTGAAGAGAATTTAGATCTGAAGTCGTTCATCGTACTGTGTTAATCGAACGTATTTTAACAATGGGTAACTCTCCCAAATTGGAGAAATCAGGTAATATTTTGTGCTCATTGTGTTTATGTTGTGTCGTATTCTTACGTTTTCGTTGTGGTTATGTTGTGTCGTATTTTTACATTTAGGGATATAATGCTTTTCGGCCCTTCTTTTGTATGAACTTCAGAAATCATACGAAGCATGTATTTTCTACTGTCTTATTGTAATTTAAACTGCAATATGACGTTTGTGTATAGTACTTTTGTTTCTGGTTTTGTGGGGTTTATCTCGAATTCCTGGTTCTTAGGTGGCATTTTCTTGTTTTATATATGTCTGTAATTATGAAATATATTTTGCATGTTTGCATTGATATTGTTGTTCTATCTTTTATCCAAAAGATTATGAATAAATTACTCACAATTTCACACAACTGTGAGTACATCAGATGTATTTTCACACTATTGATAGAGTAGTTATCTAGTTGTCTTCAACCTATTGTTAGATTGTCATAAACTGAAATGACCCGATTTATAATAAATTGTTTTTTATGTTGTGTATATTAAACTTCATTTGTAAATACCAACTTGTTTTTAATTGGCAAGAATCTAACCTGTTATTTTTGTATGAGTTGATTTCCTCAATGCAGGTAAACGCGCTGCGGATGCCAGTAGTTCGGATATACCGCTTGTTGCTTGGAAAGGCATGTGTCGTTATGTTATGTCGGTATGACAATACTTTCTATGATATTCAACTTGTATGTAACGGTGTTCGTGCTTCTAATGACTGATGCTATTTGCTAGCAACACGGCGTCGTACGAGCTCCCCTTTAACGCAACAGATTAATACACACGTTGGCGCTGATGGTGTTCGAGACGGTTAACACTTGCACATTATATATTGTCGTATGTGTCGGTCCATGGATTGTGTGTAACCATTGATATTATAATACAGTTATTGGATTTGTTAATGTGCGCGACGTATTCTATACATGGCTATAGTAAACATTCATCACGCGTATTTTTTTATTGTATACCTGTTGAACTTTGACAGGAATGTTGTTGTATATTTGTTATTACGTTCCACGATTTTCTTTAACTTTTTCATCACTATTTGTGGGTGTTAACTAATTGCTTATTATTCAGACGCATCTCGTACGATGCCAGTGAATACGACAGAACCCGATTGTGTCCGTTCAAATCGTGCGAAAGCGTGTGCACATACATCAAGCCAGCCTGACAGTGACGACTTTGTGGATGATGGTCATCGTTTGCGTGTGGCTAAAAATACACATACATGTTACGGTATATACAACCATGCGCTGCTGTTTTTCCAAACAATCATTTTCATGCTCAGAGATGTGTAAAAAATTAAAAAAATAATATTATATGATGATATAAAGTGCAGTAATTTAAGTTGCATTCTACGTTTATAGGTTTGTAATTATAACAACATTTAAGATGATTTTGGAATATTTCTGCGTATTGTGTGTGCTAATTGTGCAACATAACGGCCTGTTATACGAGTATATCTTATGAATTACTTTTTTCTTTTTCCTAACATTTTTTCTTTTTTCCAGTTAAGGGCAAGAAAGTAATGGCTGATAGCAATAAAACTGATGGCGATGATGTGGATGCTGTTGTTCTTGGAAATGGTACGGACAGCGAAGATGACGATCAATTCCCGAGTCTAATTACGAGATCGTCACCTGCTATATTCGTGAAGGCGGTTTCCGGCTTGTCAGATGCTCAGAGGCTCGCTGTTCGTGATATGGGTCTCGAATCTTTGTTAGATTTTACCATAACAACCACACCATTGAAGATGGGTTTCTGGCTGGTGAACAATTTCAATCACCTGGATCGAAAGTTGCATTTATATGGTGGTGAAGGTGCACATTAAGGAAGAAGACGTTCATGCTGCATTAGGCCTGCCCAGTGGAGAGATCGACATTAGGAACAAGAAGAAGAGAGCTACATCAGACCTTCTTGATGAATGGGTTAGACTGTTCAATGTGAGAATCCCGTCTAATATTACAGCGTCAAAGGTGTTGGATAAGATCCGCGAGTGTGAAGACGGCGGTGACTAGTTCAAGCGACATTTTCTCGTGCTTATGGTCACTTGTCTGTTCGAGAGTTCTTCAAACGGGATGGAAAACTTTCGTTTAGTCCATATGCTCGATGACCTAACCAAAGTATGCAAGATGGACTGGTGTTCATATATGATTTGATGCCTTGTGGACACTAAGAGATCTTGGGATGCTAGCGGCAAACAAAAGAAGTATACCGGTCCATTGTTATTTATGACGGTCAGTTGTTCTTAAGTCTTCCATTAATATTATTATTATTATTTATTTATCAATATATATATATATATTTATATATATATGAAGCTGGAGGTTTTGGGAAGGGATTTGTTGAGGCTGACACGCACGTGGTCGTTGGCCGTCACAAATCTGACAAAGATGGTGCCACGGCAAACAATAATGAGATCAAGAGCACAATGGAACCCAGTGTACAGGCATGTGATATATCTGATGTTATGTTATTGTTTGTTATTTGATCATTCCCATTGTTGTTTTCTTATACAATATATGTTAACTTAATTTTTATTTTTATTTATTATTGTTTTTATCTTTTACCTTTCTCACACTTTTTTTTTCGCTGATATATATTGTGCTTCATTCTATGTAAAATTGTGCACCTGGTTGAGTTAAAATGTGCTTGATTATATAGTGTTGTGATATGGTGTTTTATGTATACGCATGGTGATTAAACGTGCATTGATTTGTTGTTTCTGTTCTATTAACAGACTTATGTTCAGGAATTTGCATCCAAAACACGTCCTCTTGCTACAATCGGAGATGAAATTTTGCAGCTGGTTAATAAGGCACCACAAGTTCTAGTCGGTGACGAGAACTTTATGAAAATACAAGGCGCGGCGCAAAAGCTTTTAGGCGTGTATACCGTAATTCCTAAATCAAATTCCGCCCATCACGATCCAAGTCAACATAATCATACAGTCCCCACGAGTGATATGGCTACGGACAATGCGAATGGTGCTACCTATCAGGTACTAGACGATGTATTCTGGAACGATCCTGAAACATTGGCGGCGATAGACTCGATTTTGAAGGCGGTCGAGCGACGTGATCATTTCAAGAGGATGCAGCTTAGGCATCTCGTCAGATGACCATGATGCATGTGACACCTATCATCAACATACGAGCGGGATTGGCGTGGGTTCTGCACATAATGGGATGCCTCAAACTGCTGATAAGTCACTCAATATAGACGTGCAAATAGGTATTTGATAAAATTACTGGTGTGATGTCACCCAATATAGCCTTTTTTGGCTAAGCAATTTTTTTGTTTTATATTAATATGATTCTTATCATTTTTTATGAAGATGTTGGTCAGTCTGAGCATGCAATTGGTGAAGAAATTGGGTTGCACGACAAAGGTCATGTAACTACTGGTATGTACGTAGTGCCCAAATATATTTAATGTATTAAAATTTTGTTCTATGCCATTTTGTTTTTGCTTATGTATATATATATATATATTCCTTTTTTTTTTTTTTAAAGCTGAGAAGCTGCTTGTGAACTATCTCGTGGTGACAATGTAGACGTGTCTCCGAGGCCAAAGAGGCGCATCAAGGCGGCCAGTATAATTAAATCACCTTTTAAGCAGAGGACGATTGATGTGACGAAAAAGCTGGACAGGACTGAGAGATGGTTATTAATTGGATGCTGAAGAATGGTGCGTCTGATGAGTATGCATGGTTTAGTCTTTAATATAATTGGTTATATTTGTGTATTAAGATGGTTTAATATTTTATTGATTCACGATCTTGTGAAATGGGCAGAGGGGTGATTGCGTTTCAGTCAACTGAACCAATTGAACTATATGTGAAGAAGTTAGTCGTGGCATGTCTGACTCCCGACACTCCAATTACTAAGGAATTACTCGACTTATGGTCTTTCATACTAAACTACAACGAGAACCTTAGAAGTCGTGGTGCGCCAAAATGTTTTTTTGCATCAACTTCCCCGTGCAACGAGGTATGACACAATCAATATCTTATGTGAATTATCTAATATTGTAAGTGGTATAAATATTATATGTTTAAGTAGACCTTATACTGTTTGATGCTATTGTGGCTCGCAGTTGTTCTTTGATGGAAAAAGGAAAAAAGACACAAGCTATAAAAAGTTTGCTCAGACACTAGACTCTGAAATCACACAGACGTCCATTTACGCATTGAATGAAATACAAGTGTTATGTTATCATTTTCCGAATCACCCTGTTGATTTCTTTAATACTATTTGTTGGATTTTTTCGGTGTCGTAATGTTGTAATGTTATATGTAAATTTACATATAATTGTTTTATATAATGTACACATGTGTTACAATAAAGGTTCCGTTTATGTAGTGTGATAATTAATGTCTGCCATGTTTTATCATTCCTGCAGTTTTTATTTCCGGTGCACTCCGAGACATTTCATGGCTTAATATGCGTCCGAGATCCCAAAGGCTGATAATCATAGGCAGTTCCGTATCTCGCAAAGACGGAGCTCTTATGAGATCGATTGTGCCACGATCGGAGTTGTTGGCAATTAGTATATAATTATAACAACGTTTTATATAATTTCACGCGATGGATATAAGTTGTTTGATAACTAATATCACATTTATTGCAGCAACGGTCGATGTCAAAGTTTCTAGGTGAAAGGAATTTGGCGAAATACTCCATATCAGTCGGGCTGGCTGTTCCTGATGTCTTCGACACAGCGTGGACTGAGGGCATCGACAAGGCAGACATCGAAGTGATCACAATGTGTCACATGGAGACGTTCAAGGGTGGCATCTCGAAAACTTGGAATCTGGGACTAAAAAGGGCAGACAAGGGCCAGATCAAACTTATCAGGAAGCGCTACACATGCGTTATAGCATTTGCATCGAACAACAAGTTGAAGGACAACAATCTTGAAGAAGCACATAGGTTTCACCCGGTTCACCTTGCAAACAAAAATAAAGCAGCAACATGACGCACAGTGGTAGATGGGAATTCTCGTTTGTCTAAACGTCAATATGTAGATGTTTAGTATTACATAGGGCTAATCAAAAGCATTTGGGTTATTATGTTTTGCGATGGTTTATTATGTCTGGTTGGTGTCTTTTGATGAACTTGATCGCGACGACGTAGGTGATGACGCATGTTTTATTGTGAATGTTTTGTGTTTTGGATGACAGGCTAATGCACAACTAAACTTTTGAATATTCAATCATTTATGCCGTATGAACATTTTTTTGTGTTTTGTTGTTTTTGTTTTGTTGGTACAATATGCGGTATGAACCTCAGTTCCCCGTATTGATGCGGTCCGTACATGTTATGATGTGCATTTTCTATATATCTATCGTGCAACCTTGTACGCATTAATGTGCACATGAGTTATTATTTTTTTATTTAGTCGACTATTTATTATTTCATCGGTTGTTACGATTTCTTTGTTTCATCATATCTATTAATGTAATTATATATCCGTGTAGTAGTTATTTAGATGAGATTATGGTGCATAAATACACGGCATAATGTGCATGATACAAAACACTATTGTGCAGTGTGATGTATAATGTTGTGCACCCATTATTCAATATGTAAACTTATGCGAATCCTACATATTTGTCATTCCATTAGTTCACCTTACTTTATGAACTAGTAGAATACATCATATATATTGTCACCGTTTAATTATTTCAATGTTAATTATTTCACCATATGTGTGCATGGTGACTATGGTTAATGTGCAAATGTGTTAACATTATTGTGCACGTATAACTTGATAATGTGCATGCGAACCTGGGTGTGAATTAGATATGACACTTTATTATTGTAATCCTAAAACTCAATAATACATACACATTCCATTTGAATATTGCGCACCAGGTGTTGATACTCAACGAAAAAAAAAAGATAATAAAAAAAAAAACCCCAACATACATAGCATAATAACATCATCGGTCTGAACTTGGTTTAATGAAAATATCAGTGTATCTGTAGTACATGAATATGAATAGTGTAATGATCACGAAAGTATATCAAATACATAAAGTGATGTAGCTGAAAGTAGCTGGTATCCTAGCAATTGCATTCAGAATTAGTAAATCATCCGAGCATATTTGGCATTTTGATGGTGCCTGCACGTTTAAAGTTGTAATTATCAAACATCAACAGTACGTATATAGTTCTAAATCGTGTTTGTGTGCAAATAACTCATATGAATCACACGGTTACATTACACAATACTAATTTAATAAACCTGATTGCATCAAAAGAATTCCAACAGCCTGATGTATTACACCCCATCCTACAATGGCTAATGGTTGTTGTATTTAAAGTGAAATATATATATATATATATATATATATATATATATATTGTAATAATAATAAACGAATAAATAAACTATAGGTGTAAACACGAGAGTTTGTACATACCTATGAATGTTGGTCGGATGGTGTATCTATTGCCTTTTTCGGGCAGGTTCGCGTATTGTGTCCCACCCTCTCACCACACGTCTTGCATAGCCTCCTTTTTTTCTGTGACATTTCAATCGACTGCTCCTTGGCACTTTTCGTTCTTTTTCCGCTCCCTTTGTTTTGTGATTGTGCTGGAGATTGGATGTGTATATCTTGTGGGGCGGACATCCCAACAAAAGATTCGAACCTCTTTTCACTTTCAGTTATAGCTGACACAACTCCCTCTCGTTCAGCCATGAGCTTTCGCTTATGCTCCCCAATGAGTTTAGAAAACTCAACCAATTGGTCCATGCGCGTCTCAGCCAATCCTATGCAAACGTGTAGGTCTGACCAAATCTTATTCATCAAAATCTTTTTATCATCTATTTTGGCGCATTGTTCTGAGATGTTGTCAGGAACCTGGAACATAAGTTTGCTAATTGCAAGTTTCGTCCACCTCGACATGACATGAGAAGGTGGTATAATCTCCATGTTTATGTCTTTGTACACAAAAAAAAAAGCCTACATAGCCACCCGTGCATTTCAAAGTGCTTGCAAGAGCATTGAGTCTTTTTTAGGCTGACATCGTGTACTACCGTAAATGACTTCCCGTCAACATCTTTTATCACAAACGTCATCTCACCATCAGCTTCAGAACGTTGCATGACATGGCACCTGAAACACGCGTCACAGATTTCATTTTGCACACGATAGAATATCGTGGTGGTGTACACAGACGGAGCATGTTTTTTCAACCGGCAATTGGGTTTTCAAGCCAGCCATGTGAGTTTCAGTGTCACTTTGTAATTTCATTGACGTGTTTCGTTGTGCATCCATCGCACTATCATAATGCAACAGAAACTCGAGTAAGCTGGATTGGTTACTTGTAAAATTGCTAAACCAATTGTTCTCGCTTTCCGATCAAGAAGTAGTTCTCATAAGCCTACTCATCCTGACATCTTTAAAATATGCCGGTATCCAATACTCTTTCTTGGCAAACCAATCTTTGAACCAATAATGGGTATCTAAGCTATATTCATTCATAATAGCAGCCCATTTAGTTTCAAACTCGGCCGGTTCAATTTTTCTATTCCAAACAATTTCATTAAACTTCCTTTTGAAGTTGGTGTCGCTGTTTAAAGCATGTCCAACTTTGTCACATAACTTATTCATGATATGCCACATGCAAAAGCGGTGCTTGCTACTAGTGAATACCTTGGAGAAAGCAATACCAATCGATGGGTCTTGGTCGGTGACTATGTAGTTGGGCTCGTGCATCATTGCATTCTTGAAGTTTTCTAACACCCATACGTAAGAATTGACGTCCTCCTTCACTATCAAGGCGGCTGCAAACGTTACACACTTTCCGTGGTTGTCTATGCTGGTAAATGGTGCAAACACCATATTGTATCTACAAACAACAACAACATGTTGTATCAGTGCACATAATCGTTATATACTGTGCAAAAAATTATTATATATTATGTTGTATGAATAACATTGTTGTGCAAGAACAACATAAATATGAAATTGATATGAGTGATTAATGTACCTGTTGGTGCGATACGTGGCATCAAATGATACAACATCCCCGAAAGACCCATAGTTACGTCTCGATATTGTATCAGCCCAAAAAAGCCTATGTAGGCAGTCATGTTCGTCGAGCTCATAGCGAAAATAAAAGGCAGAGCTAATCTCCTGATGATTATAAAACTTCTCAATAACCAACTGAGCATCAGCACCTAAAATGTAGCCCAGGAGCTCTCCTTTGAAGTTCCTAAACTCCACATTGGTGGCACCGATATTAGAATATCATCTTACAATCTCTTTGTACAACTTGTACGACTTGACAGGGCCTATGTTGGCCTTTATACAGTTGAGGACAAATGTTTGATGTGTGGCTGTCATTGTCCGATTGATCTTTAGTCGTGCTCTACACTCGTCGGGCATCATCGGATGGTTGTGCTTTTCTTGAAAAAATCGAACAATATAGTTGTTTGATCCGTTAACTCGAAGGACAATCCGGGCATTACACCCCACTCGGTTCGATACCCTGCTTCTTCGTGAGTGCATTGCTTGGATTGCGTCTGCATGATGCTTGTGGCCCTCTCTCGAACATACTAGATATTTCCAAACAACCGTCTTATCAATCGCTTTAATCAAGGTGCTGTGCCTAACATCAAACCCAACCGTAGAAGCATACGTGTTGTACAAAACGACTGCCTCGTTAAGCCCGTGAAAAATCTTCCCTTTGAAGGGCCTAAGTGCATCCTCACATTGTGGTATCCAATATTTAGTGCCGCCTGGTGTGATGAGTAGCTGGCGGGTACGAAGTGATGATAGTTGGGCTGAATCTGTTGCAATTAAGACCCCCAAAAATATAAATAAATAAATAAAAATAAAGGAAAACAGAATTTTGAACAAGATGCACAATTACATGCACTTCTATGCACATTTATATGCTGTTCCATGCACAATTACGTACGACGACATGCACTATATGATATACATGCTATGCTCATCAAAATTGTACAAAAACATGGTATATGAATGTTCAGGGAAATTACACATCAACATGAATTACCGGTGAATATCAAAGTAAGCTCGTTAATTGTCCCATAATCAATCGACAATAACATATTTACAATACCTTCTTGCGTTTCGCTCAGCTCCACAGGGGCTTCCATGAACAAGAAGTATTGTGCAAAAAACCTAAATCAAACAGAAGATCGTTAGTTTCCCTCTTTATGAATCGCAGCATACTCAGGTTACTCTTATGTTCGATTGCAGTAGAAAAAATGGAAAAAAAAAAAAGAAAAAAAATGCAGCAACGAAGAACCAAAAACCTGATTCAGATCGATTGGATTCTATGTGATGGATTTTACTGAGCTGACTTGTGATTAATCACTACGTCGATGTGCGAATGCTTGGGAGCTCAATGTCGATTTTTCACCTATGAACCCTAAGCTCGAATTTAATGTTGATGCGGCAATCGCAGGTTTCACCAGCAGAGGACACGCTATTGTGCAGGGTAAAATTACAGTTCTGCCCTTTTCAGTAATGGGCCTGAGCGTGCCTGCGTGCTGAATCTGACCGTGTGATTGAATTGATCCTGTGGTCAATAGTTATTATTATTTCTTTCGTTGACACAGCGCGCCCCTATATATATATATATATATATATTTCGGCTATGTTCTAAAATGATGTATTTCCATATCAAATAATGTTTGATACATATTCCAGCTCAATTTCATCCCGAGCATGTTCTATCAATATTTTAAGGATATAATATGTATATGTATATCTGTTATTTCGTTGACTTAGGAGATATAATAATTTATTCAGATAATATCACGTTCTTTCCAGATAATTTTCATTATTACCAGATCAAATAAGTTTTGATGATTTCGTGTTCCAGTTCTTTCCAGACCATTTTCGCCAGTCACTATCATATAATTAAGACCAGAGATATTTATTCCCGACCCACTCCATAATTTGCATCTGAGTACATATTATTTCCAGCTAAATTGATGCCTTCCAGATCAATTATGCCGATAGTATACCTTCTTCCAGATCAAGATTCCACTCATTTTAGTTAGTTTAATTTTGTGAGTTGACTATTCTTTATAAAATGTCACGGCTCTCTCTCTTCAACTTAACATTAATCCACTATATTTGATATATAGGGTCGCGCTCACATGAGAATGGTGCTCAGTGAAAGAAATAAGAATGCATCATAACCATCGGATCAGATGATCCAACAACTAAAAAAAATATATGTTTTATATTTAGTAAGGGTAATTTAGACTTTAGACACCATTACACCCAATCCTTCAACAACCAACCCCCACCCCTCACCCCTCACCCACCTGCACGCCCTCTCTCACACACACAAACACCTCTGTCACACACAACTCCCACGCACTGCACACACAAACACACACTACACATTACACACATAAATACACACAGTCGATACACACACAAATACATACAGTCGATACACACACACACAAAATCGACGCATACACCTACATATTTTGCACACACAAACACATAGTTTCACGCTCGCCGGTACAGCTGCCCGTCGCCGCGGCCGTCCACTTACTTTCACGCACAAACACGTCGCTGTGAGCCGACGACCACTCGCCTACGCCGCTCGCCGGCAACCTCCAGACGCGACGTCGCCGCCGTACCATGCCTGACCAACAGTTTAGGCGTCCCCACACTGCCGCCAGTCACAGCCACGCAGTCATGGAGATCCAAACCGTTTCCACCATCCGCCTCGACCACGAATCTCTGATTCGCTCCGGCAATCGGTCGACGCCGTCAGGAACGCACACACTCCACTGCCGTATGGTCCGGTGTCTAGAGCTCAACCACCGTCGTTCTCCCTCCATCTCTTCCGCGGCCGATTTCAACCATCCCGACTGAAAGTTGACGTCGGAGCTCCGGTCTTGGCGGGAGATGCTCCAGGTCAAATGGCAAATGGGCACTGAAAACAATGCACCGATGTCTCTGCCGGAGAAGGTGACCGACGCGGGTGGGACTTGGGAGTGGTGGGAAGGTGAAATCGATTTGGGGAATACCGATTAGGGATTTTATTTTTTAATTGAATATTTTAGGGGCATGTTTGCAATTTAACTATTTTTGAAATATTTCAATTTGGTTCATATGCCAAATGTGTAATTTATAAAAAATAATAAATGGGTATTGATCATATATAAAAGGCACATTGTATATATTAACATTAAATATAACAATAAAATTAGTATAAAATATTAAAATAATATAAATATAATTTATAATAATAAATAAATTATGTAATAAAACATAATAAATAAAAATATATTTTAATTATTTAAGTTAATTAAATGTACGATTATATCTATGAAAAACTAGTGTTTGTATGTATAAATTAGTGCACTTTATGTAGCAAAATATTGCACTTTATAAAACAACATGTTGCACTATGTCACTACATTCCACATTTAATGTCAACAACTCCCGCCAAAATACTACGCAGAATAAATCTAAAAAACGGATCAACATAATAATTTGATATCCATCATATCACTTGTACACAAAAAAAAAACAAAAAAAAAACACACACACACACACACACACTTGTATGCTAACGTACCAAAATTTCAATATTGCACTTTATATATCAGTAAGTTGCACTTTATACAACGATATGTTGCACTTTTTAACGTATCATGATGCACTTCATAAAACAACATGATGTCGTACCAAAAATACAGTAATTATGATATACGATCGAATAATTATAGTTGGTTAAATTTCGGATTTAGCTTTTCTAAATATACAGAATAACCAAACATGTCGAACTATGTGAAAAAATATTACCGATTTATAGATATATTATTCAAAAAATAACACTATTGTTTTATTATATTTTTTATGTGTACAATAGTTAAATTTTATACATCATCACGTTGCACTTTATAAAACAGTACATTGCACTTTACAAAACAATAAGTTGCACTTTATCACGACTAACATATTGCACAATAGAGATCGAAAACGACCGAACTCAAAACTTTTCAACCAAACATTATATAAAAATAATAAATAAAATTATTAACATATTAAATATTATTTTAATATAAATTACAAATTATTACGATTATTTAAGATAATTCGATCAATCGAACTAAATAAATAAATTAATTATGTTCATTTTCAATTTGATTTGGGACAAAAGTTCGATTGGTTCAATTTGTATTATACAGACCAACACCGTGCACAATAGTGTTGGCCGAATTGCACATTAATAACTGTTAGATTGCACATTATATTTCGTTTACATTTATACTAAATTTTTAACCAAAAAAAAAATAAATATCAAATAAAAATATTAAATAATAATCATGTTTTTCAATAATTGATAATATAATTTATATCGGTTTTTTTGAGTATTTAAGTTAACCGAAAAATTAAACCGGATATGTCGAAACCAAAATTTTCATTTCGAATTTTAAAATTTTGGTTCGGTCTTTATTTTTTACTTTAAAAAACTCGATTATGTCAGTTACTTTTCAACGTTTTCTTTGATTTTATTTAGATGACCAAGAAACTCGATTATTATTATTATTATTTATTATTATTATGTAAAAATATTATTATTTTCAGCCTATGAGTTTTTGATAAATTATGAAATTGACCCATGGACTAAAATGAAATATAATTAAACTTTAATTCATTTTCTTCTCTGGATGATAATTCCTGACTTATCTAAACTTCAATTCATTTTCTTCTTCAACATCATAAATTCCTGCCTTGTCAGATTCCCACGCACCTAATTTCCATTTCAACATCAAAAGCCCAACTAGAATCTACAAAATCAGAAGCCAGAAAATGGCAAAACCTTGACAATCAAAATTCATCTTCATGCTTTTTCATCACATTGTATCAAAAGCCCCAGCAGCCAGTAATGGCGTTTCCCAAATCATAAAAAAAAACCCCTAAATCAAACAACACCCGCACATCTTCCTCATGGCTATCAAATCCCCAAAGATCCATTTTTCGTCGTCAGCCAGCACTCCAGGTATTCGCCGAATTCCGACATACAAGCCAAAATTTTATTGGCCGGGAACAAAAGTTATTTAATTTTCGAAATAAAACTCCCCCAATTCCCTCAATACACAGCCTTCGTCGTCATCATTCTCACGCCACTTCTCATCTGCCGTTGCTTCTCGTTGGCCGCCATCTCTCACGGCGCTGGATGGTCTGATTCCGGCGAGAGCATACAGGTGGGCCTCCGGCGATGGCGAAGAAAGAAGGGTATGATATTTGGAGAAGCCCAGATCTATGCCGGCAAGGTGCTCGTCGGCTATGGCGGTCGGCGGTGGACGGCAACAGGCGGAGGAAGGTGGTGTTGCTGGTGGCGGACGGCGGCGCAGCGGACCTGGTGTTGCTGTTTTGGCCGGGTGGATGTAGTGCGTGTGTGTGTGCGAATGTGATGGTGTGTGTATATGTGTGTGAGAGAGTGTGGATGTGTGTATATGTGGTCGTGGGTGTGTTTGAACGTGTTTGAATTTTACTGTGTGAGAGTGATGACATGTGATTGGGCACACATATGTATTATATAAAAATACTAAATTACCCTTAATGAGTGTCAAATGACCACATTACCCTTAATGAGTTTGACTATAATTACTAACTTTGACTTTATCATGATCGTTGATATGTTGGATCAAATGGTCTACAATTATTCTTATTTCTTTCACTATCCTTCTTTCTCATATGATCCCTTCTCTTGATATATATATATATATATATATATATATATATGGATCAAATAAGAATAAGGAATAATGAAAGAAATGAGAATAATTGTGCACTAAATCAACGGATGAGATACAGTCAACATTAATTTAGCACTGGTTGATCTCGCGGTGGCATACTTGTAATTACCTCAGATTTTACGGACAATTGTCTATGTTTGAGGGTATTCTAGTGTTTCTTGCATTAGCAGAGGGGTAAAGGTCGGTTTTCAGGCACATTAATTGCAAATATTATCTAGGTCAGAATTTGCATTGATCTCGTTGGTAACGGACGGCGATTTCCCAACTTTTGAGGGTCGATTAAGCTCAATTTATCATCGAATTCCTCTATGCGAGTAACGGGCGGCCATATTCCAGACTTTTAATGAAGTTTTGAGGTGATTAATAGCTCGATTCGTACTGTGAAGAGGCAATTGTTTGTGAATCTCAGATTATGGGGAATACTCCACAAACAAAGAAACGAGGTAAGATTTTTCTTCAAGTTCATGTCGATTAGTTCAGTTTAGAGCTCTCATTTTACATAGAAATATATATATATATATATATATATATATATATATATATTTATAGGGTCACGCTCCGGTGAGAATGGTGCTTAATGAATGAAATAAGAATACATCCTAGCCATTAGATCGAATGATCCAACAGATAAAAAAAAGCCAAAATTATATCTTCATTAAGGATAATGTGGTAATTGTCTACAACAAACAGCNAAAAAGCAGGTCTTTCATTGCCTTCTACCGGCCGCCGGCGATCGTCTCCGATGAAGCCGACCTCGTCAGACTCAGCCGGCGACCTGCGCGCACCTTCATTCCTCGCTCAAAATCTGCCGCAGCTATCGCCGCGCCTTCATTCCTCTACCCGACCTCCGCCATTCTCCCTCAGGTCCCAACAAGCTCTCTCTTCCGACGAAGGACAATTTCTGGGTTTAGTGCGGTGGTGGAAGAGAAGCCGGCATCAAGCTGCTCCCCCACTCGATGATGTCCGGCAACAGTAGAATAAGGAATTTTGGGAGTGGATTGATTAGGGTGGGAAGAAGCCCAAATTTGAGAAATTAGGGCTGGGAAGGGGATGAGTTTTCTTTTATAAATTAGATAACTTAAAGGGACTTGATTGTAAATTAGGACAATTTAATTATATTTCAATTGAGTCTATTGGCTAAATTTGTAATTTATAGAAAATATAAAAAAGTATATTAGTTTATATATAAAAAAACATATTTTATACATACATATATTATATATTTGCAATAAAATTAATACATAATAGTAAGCAAAAAATATTAAAATACTAAATGTATTTTTTATACTATAAATAATAAACATATTTTAATTATTTAGGTTAATTCTATTAACCAACAGAATAATCCGATTATTTCAGTTCGATTTTAGTTTAGAATCCCACATAAAAAAACTCGCACTACAAAATGCACAATAGTATAAAATACGATGCACATTAATGACTGTCAGACTGCACAATTGTGTTCCAGAGTGCACATTAAAAGTAAACACAGTGTATTTTTATAAATATTAATATTTCAGTTATTTAGTTCGATTTCGACTTTATTTAAAAAAAATTAAAAAATAAAATAACTAGGAGAACTATATAAAAAATTATTATTTTTATATTATATATATTATTACTTTTGACAAACAATACTATAAATTATTAAATAAAAAAATTTTAAATACTAAGTATATTTACATAAAAAAATAGTGGCACTTCAATTGCACATTAATATTATACGACTTGCACATTAGTTACTCTCATATTGCACTATAGCGATCAAAATGTCCATACGAAGTTTTGGATTCGAATTTTATATTTTGCACATTATTGACTACTATATATTTTTTACTTTTAAAATTTTGGGTATCTCTTATAGATGACATATTTATTGATTAAAATAACCAAACCGATCAATCTATATAATAATAATTGATAATGGATATCAATTATTTAGTTTTAATTTACGTTGAGATAAAACGTTTGGTCAGATTAGAATGCGCAATAGTAATCGAGACAGTGCACAACCCTGTTAGACAAGTTGCACGTTAATGCTTATCAGACTGCACACTAGTAGCCGAAAACGACGGAACTACATTTTTTCGGTTTGAATTTTTATATTTCAATTTAATTATAAGTTTTTTTATTTTTAAAATTTTGAATATTTCTATTCTATGTCGACATTATTAAGTAAAAAGACCGAGACAACAAAATCGACCGAATGATAAGCGGTGCAAAATATATAGTTTAATAAAATTACAATGTGAATATTAATGTGCATTATAACCCAAAATATTGTGCATTTTTTTGCATCATTAAAGTGCACTTATTACAGTTTTATTAAATTACAATAATGCCACAGCTATTAAAATACAAAAAAAAGGAATTGCATCAAAGTCCCTAGGAGTTATTGAATTCACAAAATCAGCCCACAACCAAAAAATTCAATCCCGTCAGCTTCCCCCAGATTGAGTTCCTCCGCCAGCCTCCCGCCGCCCGCCGCCATCCTCTCTTTGTTCGATTGCACCTTCTCCCGCTACAGTTCCGTCTTCAATTGCAAAGTCCCCAGATGCATACCTCTGTAACTAAAAAAAATCACACTTCTCAAGGGCAACGGCGGACGATGTCTGTTAGATGTATGTGGTGTTAGAGTGGCGGCAGGTTCTCCGGCACAACATTTCCGGCGGCACATGGTCCAGCGGCCGCGAAGGCGGCAACGCCGGCGAAGTCAACTTCAAGATCCGAATTTCCGCTACCTGCGTCGCCTTCGACTGCGACTGGAATGAGCTCTCCACGATCTCGTAGTCACGACGACCGTGTCATCGTCGTCGGCGGTCGCTGTACCTTCAGCTACGAGATTGGTGGCGGCAGTGGGCAGTGGGCAGCGGACCAGCGGCGATCGGCGTGATCTGCGGTGGGTGGCGGGAACAGAAGCGAGCGGCGTGACCTGTGGAGAGCTACGGGACCCGTGGCGGCGGCGGCGAGAGAAGTGGCCGGCGGCCTCTGTGTTTGTCTAATTGTGTTTTGATCGGGATATGCAGAGAGAGATGCACAGGTACTGCGTGTGTTTTGGTGAAGATGTGTGAGAGAGAAAAATAAATTAGGGTGGGTAATTTGTGGTGGGTCCCACATTATGAGTTGGCATGATTTATAATGACTATAATACCCTTAATATTTAGTCAAATATATTCATTTGACTACAATATATGTTAATTTACTATACTGCCATTAATGATTGACCATACTTCGACATCATCTTAACCATTGATATGATTGATCCAATGGTCTAAATTCATTCTTATTTCTTTCACTATCTACCATTCTCATGTGATCCTAACTATATATATATATATATATATATAGGGGATGGATCCAATGAGACCACTCCTTAAAATGAGTACGTGAGACTCAATCTTAGCCACTCATTTTGTCTAGATCAAAATCAATTAAAATATACATTAATTAAATAATAAAATAGTTGACCATTGACTTCCGGCGTTGACTTCCGGCGAGAATCGTTGACTTCCGGCGTTGACCGTTGACTTCCGGCGTTGACGCGTTGTATTGAAATAAATAACCTAGCACCAAAAGACACTCAACCTTCAGTGGTGTAGTGGTTGCATTGCTTGTCTTACCTCCATGAGGTACCAGGTTCAAATCCTATGAGTTACAATTTTTTTATAAAAAAAAAATACAACTAACTTAGCAACATCAGACAACTAACCTAGCAACAAAACACAACTAACTTAGCAGCATCAGACAACTAACCTAGCAACAAAACACAACTAACCTAGCAGCAAGAAAGAACAACTAAACTAGCAACAAAGACAACTAACCTAGCAACAAAACACAACTAACCTAGCAGCAAGAAAGAACAACTAAACTAGCAACAAAGACAACTAACCTAGCAACAAAACACAACTAACCTAGCAGCAAGAAAGAAATAACCTAGCAACAAAAGACAACTAACCTAGCAACAAAAGACAACTAACCTAGCAACTACAGATAACTAACCTAGCAGCAAGAAAGAAATAATCTAGCAACAAAAGACAACTAACCTAGCAACTACAGATAACTAACCTAGCAGTAAGAAAGAAATAACCTAGCAACAAAAGACAACTAACCTAGCAGCAAGAAAGAAATAACCTAGCAACAAAAGACAACTAACCTAGCAGCATCAGACAACTAACCTAGCAGCAAGAAAGAACTAACCTAGCAACAAAAGACAACACAAAACGAGGATAGCAAAATTCTCTCACTTCTCTCTACAATTCTCTCTCTAGTTTTTTCCCACTCCACCACCACCGGCAGCCCCCTCAACGCCACCGCCACCATCACCGCATAGTCCCTTTCGGTCGCCGCCTCCGGCGGCCTGCCTCCGGGCCGCCGGACCTCTCATTTCCTCGCACCTATGGCGACATCCCACCTCACCGCACCTACGACCGCACATTCGCTCAACCAAACTCCGGCCACTAATCTGTCAATCGATGACATACACGGCAAATCCGGGGATGGAGAAGAAAAAGTGATGGAAAGCCGTCAGCAAATCGGAAAAGAAAATTCCACCTCGCTACTCATAGCTCCTCTGCACCTGCCATTTCCGGCAGCCCCGTCAACATCTCCCCAACATTCCGGGGAAGAAGTAGAAAAAGTGGTGGAAATCCCAAACCACCGCCGTCAAAAAATCGGAAATGAAAATGTCCAATCCAACCCGCTACTCATGGCTCCTCCGCAAACGCCATTTCCTACCCTTCCGTCATCATCTCCCCACCATTCAACCAACCTCTCACCGGAAATCATCAAACTCTTAAGCCTTCCAGAATTTCAACAAGCAATCTCATTGTTTTTGGCCAATAATTCTCGGCCCGAAAAAGATAATAGCCCGCCTCTTGTGAATGAAAATAAGAGATACACCGTCGCCGGAAAATCAGTCCTCCGTCCGGTAGAAATTTGCAGGTCAGTCGCGGATGGTTCGTTACCGACTATTTTCACTTCGTCGGTCACTCCAGTCCGAGATATTGAAGACGGCGGAGCAAATGACGAAAACCCTCAGCTGCTCACAAAATTGGACCCAACTCATAATCCCACCTCATTTGGGCCCAATCATAAGCCCAACTTATCCCACAATGGCCTGTCTCACTTTGGGCCAAAACCAACATCTCCAACCCAAATCACGTACCAAATACCCACGGACATCAACGCACCCCATTCCACTCTACAAAACATTGCTGTATTTCACCTTACAACCCAAAATCATCAAAAAACCGTAAACCCCCAACAGCAAAAAATAACCGGTAGCCTCAATCAACACCAAGCCACTACAAATCATCAATCCACCGCAGCACCTGTGCCTCTCACCGGCGCTCCACCGCCGTCCGGCCAGACCACCGGAATCGCTACCCACCCCGGCGGCCCCTCACCGGGTGCAGGGATACTTGGCCCCGGCCCCTCTTTAGCGACAAATGCACCCCGGACTGCCCTCTCATCGAAGGATCCGACCTCTGACCAGGTCGTCTTGCACGTGCGGGAAGATGGAGTGGTTGCGACAGAACCAGATACAACGGCCGTGACCAACAGTCCCGGACACCCCCCGACACCACTGACGGGAACCACCGCAGCCAACCCAGCTACTGCCGGGGCCTTCCCTGGCACCTCCACGACGACCGCGGTTCATGTTACCGTACCTCCCATGACCGGTACATCACCTACGGGCACCGCCATAATCGAGCCTCAACCGGGCACCTCCACGGGCCCACCTTCCTTCCGCGACGCTATCATGGGGAAGAAATACGGCAGCTCGAGCACTCCGAGCCCAACACCGAAAGATTTCCCATTTAACGGGAATTACGAACATGCCTGCGGTACCATTGTCCGCTCGGAGAATAACAAAGTGAAGGCCCGTTTCACCGACGCCGAATCTGGAGACCTGGCAGGTAAACTAGATAACACCCTGGTATTTAAGTTTTCATATGCTATCCCCGCCCCTCGAGATATATCTGCTGGATTAAGGAAATTGGGTTTTAAGGGTAGTGTTTCATCGAAGTGGTTTAACTTTAACCACCTGTTAGTGTCTTTCCACCTCACTGAGGATTATAATGAGGTCTGGCTCAAGACCTTGATTCATTTGTGTGGATGCCCAGCTAGGGTGTTCAAATACTATGTCGGGTTTAGCCCGAAGACGGAGGCACCGATTGTCCCCGTCTGGTGCCGTCTTCCTGGCCTCCCACCCCACCTCTACGACCGCGCTGCCATCACTACACTTGCTAAGTGTATTGGGCAGCCGATTCGTATCGATGCCCACACGACCCTTCAGACGAGGGCTAACGTGGCACGATTCTGTGTTGAGATAGATCTCAGAACGGAGCTCGTTCATGAGATCGAAATTGAGCAGGGCTCAGAGTCCTTTCTTCAGCGGGTGATATACGAAAAAATCCCCGCGTTCTGCACACTGTGCAGCCATGTGGGTCACATTGCGGCCGATTGCTACATTAGTGGTAATAAGCCACGACCCACGCTTCCGCAGCGCCATCGCGCTGCTCAGCCAGGGCCCTCCACCAGCAGAAGGGACCCCAAGGGAAAGGGCAAAAGCCCTATCCGTACGCCCGAGACCCCAAAGGGGTCTAAGGACAAGGGCAAGGCTGTGTATGACGCCACTGCCCAAACTGGGAAGGACGCTTGTCCTAACCAGCCTAAGCAGTCGGCCATAGTGGGACCAAAGCCCAAGTCCACGGGCTTTCTCCCTAGACAGACCATCCAGACGGCCTTCAAGGCCAATCACTCGTACTTTGCCATTCTCTCCCCGCAGGCAGAGGAAGAGGACGTTCCGTCCACTAGTCACCATCCTAAGATTTCTGACCTTGCGCTCCTTGACGACGATGATCTTTTGGTCGACGAGATGGACCAGCCGGAGGCCTCGACCAGAGGTGAGTCCATCCATTTGTCCGATGACAGTGCACGCGACGCTGACCCTCAGGCCGTGCGTGCATCCAGTCCGGACCGCGGCCCGCTAGATTTGAGGGCTAGTGCCTCCACCGCTCCCCCGAAAGGGGATGAGTCGGTCCCTCCTCTCTCTCCGGAGACTAGGAGCACGGCTGAGCATATAGCCAGCCCCCACCCTTCTTCTGGAGGCGAGCACATGACTGCCCCGTCGGCTGTACTCCCTCTTTCTCCCATCCCCGAGCAGGTATGCGGTTTTAACCGCGCTCAGCATGACGTCTCTTGCGAGAGCTTCGCGTCTAGTGCCTTTGTGCACCATGACAGACAGGAGACAGCCCCGGATATGGGGCAACCCGCTAGTGTCGCTCTTGGTCAGATTGCCCAGGCAGACGACACACAGGCCACGAGCGTCATCCGAGGCAGGCAGTATACGAGGACCAGAGCCTCGCAGCGTACGCTGCGGCGGACTGCCTCCCCTGCTATTGGATCATTTCGACGTCGCCCTGCTTTACGCAGCACGACTCAGCCTCGCCACAGGCGGACTATGTCCAGTGGCTCTCGCGACAGTTGATATGTCAGTCACGTCCATTACTTGGAATGGCCGTGGCCTGGCGAACAGGGCTACCCTCTCTCACCTCCATTCTCTGATTCGTGACCACAGACTCGATTTTGTTGGCTTCATTGAGCCAATGATTCGCAACCCTTCGCTTGACTGTTACTCGCGTCGCCTTGGTTTTCACTCGGGTGTCGGTAATATGTCGCATAAGATCTTCTTCTTTCACTCGCGTGATTACACTTGTCGGGTCCTCCGTGACACCGATCAGGTGCTTCATGTTGAGCTCTCCGCTGCCCACCTCCCGGAGCCCATCTATCACACCTTGGTTTATGCCAAATGTAATAGGGTCGGGCGTTATGATCTTTGGGACACCCTGCGTGAGATTGCCGAGAGTATGGAGGGATTGCCATGGATGGTTAGTGGTGATTTCAACATCTTTCTGCACCCCGATGAGCGCGTGGGTGGCCGCACGTACAGATCCCGAGAGATGTGGGATTTTGCGCAGACTGTGGCGGACTGTGAGTTGCTTGATGCTGGATGCGAGGGTGAGCCCTTTACGTGGGTTAGGGACGACCTCAAGGAGAGGCTCGACCGTGCTTTGATTTCTGAAGCGTGGTCGAAGGTGTTTGCGGTCACGACCGTCACGCACCTCACTCGATTTGGGTCTGACCATTCACCCCTCCTCATTAGATGTCGTTTTTCGAGCACTCCTCGCCGCGCTTCCTTTAGGTTCCAAAACATGTGGGTTCGCCACCACTCCTTCCACGACACTGTCAGGGATTCCTGGCTTCAGCCGACTGGGCTCTTCGGGATGCGCAATCTCGAGGCGAAGCTCGGCAGACTGCGGCGTCGGTTGAGACAGTGGAACTGGGACATTTTTGGAAACCTTCATCACCGCCTTACTGCAGCTCAGAGTGCGCATGCGTCGGCTGAGCGGGCCTATGACCTGGATCCCACTCCGGAGAATAGGACCGCCATGCACCGCTGCCACGCCGAGTACCAGCTCCGACTCCTTATGGAGGAGGACTTCTGGAAGCAGAAGGCGGCCGTTCGCTGGGTGGCCGAGGGCGAATGGAATACTAGGTTCTTCCAGGGCTACGTTAGGCAGAAGCGTGCTAAGTCGTACATCCATAGTATCGAGGCTGATGGGTCAGCCTTGACCCAGGAGGCCCAGATTCGGGAGTCGGCTGTTGCTCACTTCCAGACCCTCTTCACCTCTGACAGAGGGTCCCTCGTGGCCCCGAACGCTTCTTTTTTCCCCACCATCCCTCCTTCGGTCGACCTCATTGGCCTCTGTGAGCTCCCGAGCAGGGAGGAGGTTAGGGATGCTGTATTCGGGATTGATCCCAACAGCGTTTCTGGCCC